GGAAAAGCACTCTATTGTCAATATAAAGACTACAAAACCCAAACTAGGAAAAACTCTACAATGTCAAGCATATAAAAAGGGATCAATAAATATCAATCACGGGGCACAATTCATTTGCTCAATTTATCCCTTTTTAGTTCACTATGTCTGAAATTTCCCTGTGTAGGTACCATAAACATGTTATATAGACTTCTATTTCATTTACTGTTTCTTTTGGCCCATGTGGAAACATATATATATATGTACAAAAGTGGCCAATTATTTTTTCCTGGCCCATCATGTAGAAAATGTCTTTGTTTTTTCTTCTTTTGGCAAACATTTGGAATCTTGGATATAAAATAATAGACAGCTTTGGTATAACAAGAGTGTAACATTTAACATGAGTGTAACAAGCGTATTTAGATAGTAAATATCAGAGATACAGGTGTGTCTCGTAAGCCTCAGATGTTGTCCATCTGCTCTCATTTCCTATTCCTCCTGCCTCCATCCTCGGCCTCTTGTGCTCTAGGACAGCTCTGAACACACCTTTGCTGCCGTATCTGTTCTCACAGTCTCATCCAAAAATGCCTCTTCTCTCTCAGCTCCCAGCTTACCTACTTATCATCTTAAAAGATGATCTTCAGTCCATCACCTTAGCTGAACCAGCTCTGATTTCTAATATTCTTAGAGTACTTGATGAATAAACATATGTTTACTTGCTATTTCTATACTGGAAGAATATAGAATATTTCTATATTGGAAGGCTAGACACCCAGCAGAAATATACTTTTTCCTATGGAAAATTTCTCATAATAAACGCATAGAAAAAAAATGTTTTCTGAAAATTATTTAGAGTTCAGTCTAAAAAGACATTTGAAATCCACCTTCAAAGATACACACTACTTTTCATTTAAATGGAATTATAGCTATTTATAGTCTGACTAACGGCAAAACAGAGATACAGTACAGCACAAGAGAGGAAAAAGAAATTACCTCAGTGAATGTCAAAATGACAAGCCATCAAAAATCTGTGGTTTATTAAGAAAAGAAAAAAAAAGGGAGATCTCTTAAACAGATCTAGATGGCCCAGCAAACTTTTGAATTTAATCTTGTGATACACTGTAACGACAAAAGGCCTCTACGGCATAGCAGGCAAATTTATAAGAATGTGATCAATACATTTGACATATTATTTAATTATAAACTCTAGTGACAGAGACAATATGAAAACCTAGCGTCAACATTCTGACAGCAGAATAAATAAATAGATATAATTATTCCTCATACTAATCCCAGAAGAATTGTAAATTATCAGGCCAGACTGTAGATCTGAGTTCTAAGGTTTCCTTAATGTGATAGAGTTTGATGTAGGGGGTGTCATATCACCAATATCATGCCTTTTTATTAGAATTAAAAGGTCTCTGAGGATTTCAGGTTCAAATGGTCAGAACAACTCCAGGTTCTCTACATATTATTAGTACTCCTCGATCACGGCTTCCTGCTGGGATACATACGTGGAGAGTTGTGGGGAGGGAAGAAGAAAGAGGCAGAGGCAGAAGCAGGAGCTCAGTCACCTCTGTTGCTGTTGTTTAGCTGCTAAGTCATGTTGGACTGTTTGCGACCCCGTGAACCGCAGCACACCAGGCTTCCCTGTCCTTCACCATCTCCCAGAGATCTCCATTGAGTCGGTGATGCCATCTATCCATTTCATCCATCCTCTGTCGCCCCCTTCTCCTCCTGCCCTCATCTTTCCTCAAATATGGGTCTTTTCCAATGAGTCGGTTCTTTGCATCAGGCGGCCAAAACACTGGAGAATCAACTGTACATACTCTGAATCTTGGAATCTCGACTGGGAGGCGGAAGCCCTTACCCGTCATTTCACAGAGCAGGACAATGAGAACCAGAGAAAAGGATGGACGTGCTCAAGGTCACAGGGCTTCCTGGCAGAATCAAGTCCAAGCCCAAGGCTCACAATGTACAGAACAAAGCTCTTTCTCTATCCCCGGTGAGAAAGCAATAGCCGAGGTGGTCAGCTAGAACATGGCTGATATAGCCATGGCTATATTATCATACCAACAGAAGGAAGGCACTTTCCAGCGAGGGCCAAGAGAAATGACAGTTAACATTTAACATTGTGGGACTGACTTCAAAGGCACTCCAGTTGGACTCTAATGACGGGAGATGAAACTGCTAACATTAGCAGAAAGTTGCAGGTGGACAACTTGGATTGGAAATAGCACACACGTCCTCAGGGCAGGAGTGCTTTGCAGAAACCCCACACAAGGCTGCCACCTCATTGCAGGGAGGGGAAATACGGGAAATAACCTTCTGTCTGGCTGTGGTTCACATGTTATTAAGCTGTTCATTCCTCGTTAACACTAGAAACAGTCACGTCTGCCATTTAGTGGAGGGTGTGGCTGCTGATGACAATATGAAAGGGAGATGGTGCTGCTGGGTGGGTGTCAAGAAAGACTACTATTTTTGCTACAAGAAGAGGAGACAGCTGCTGCTTGGGTGCCACCAATTAGTAGATACTGGACACTGCAGATCCTCCTAAGGGACGTTCCAATGTAGAAAGGTCAGTTCATTTTGGAATCTCTACTCTTGCCTCAGAAAAGGGCAGAATTCACCTGCAGAACCCCTATTAACTTTTGGACACAGAAAGTCTCTTGAATGAAGGGTTGATTCCACCTACCAGGGAAATAGTCCATTCTTTTTCCAGCAGATTCTAGTCCCTTCTAGGCAGCGTTCTGGTCCCCAGTACGGTGATGGATGAAGAGGAGGAGGACAGAGCTCTGGCAGCAGTGGGGGCAGTCTCTGCCCGGGCGTCCCATACATCCTGAGATGCCCCAAATGCAAACACTGCCCATGCTGCCCCTCCACCACTTGGTTTGACTTGTCAGGCCTGCAGAGCCATCCTGGTCAGGGCAATCTGGCAAGTTCCACCTGGTTCCTCCCACCTTCAGACCTCATCCAGGTTCTTGGCCCGAGTCTGTCCACAGGTAGGTGGAGGGGAGGAGATGGTCATTAGGCCCCCCATGGGAGGCTGTGCCTCTGCTCCAAGCTTCTGTCCCCTCCCCAAGAAAAGAGTCCCAGGGATATTTGTGCACTGGACCCCTGCTTTGAGCAGGGTCAGCTGTCTAGGAACAAGACTGGGTCTCACCCTGCCACCCACTGTTTCCCCACCCAACTCAGGAGAGTCTTGCTGGATTCTCAACGCACTATTGAGGCCCCAGTGCCAGCTGCCCCTGCTGCTGCTACTGTCCCACCAGCCCAGATGTCTTCCCAGGGCTGTTTCCTAGAATTCCCATCACTCCATGATGCCAAGAGTGGTACCTCCCTGCTCCACAGCCCAAACACCAGAACCATCCAGTTGATCAGACCTAATTCTCAGCACAGGCTCATGAATAAGCAAGTGTTTGAGAAAGGCTATTTGCTGATAAGGAAAATAACACCATCCACAGATGAATGAATGAAAGCGCTGGACCTGTTATCCAGGCAGTGTGGCCTTTATGTCATTTTATGACATCCTATTATATATGGCACCCGGGGGTGGGCTCTGGAGAAGAGTTCTCTCTCTCACTGGTCCATCAGCTTTGTCCTGAGCTAGCGAGGGTGGCAGAGAGACATGGAGCAGAGGCTTTAAAAGCTGAGCAATGAAATGCACCAACTGATCAAACACCTGGGGGGAACAGCTAAACATAATACAGTGGGTATAATATATACATATGCATATATTAAATTCAGAGAGAAGATATAACTCGTTAGGAACCTGAAATTTTTAGGAATAGAAAGCAGTGAAAGATGAGCACATACTATAGTCACCTCCGACTTATATTACCAGTCTCCAGAGTCTGATAGCATCCTCAGTGTCTGTTGTGAGAAACAGATCTTGGTTCCCACTGTAGTGCTTCCAGAAAAGGACTGGCCATGGCCAGAGTGAGCTTCTTATACCAATCGATTGAATACACGAAGAATTCCTTAGGGGAAAAGAGCTAAACATAATTTAAGTTGAAACTGTTAATTTAATAAACCTAAATGGCAGGAATTGTTGGCTATTACCCTGAGGAATTGAGCATAGTACATGCAGGGTTGCGTGTGAGCCTGAGTAGGTATTTGAGAAGAGGGCCATGCCATTCACAGTGCCTGGATTTCTTTTCTAAAGAATTTGCCTTTTCTATTTATTTCCTCCTTCTCCTTCCCTCCCTCGCTCCCTCCTTTATTTCTTGGATCCAACAGTAGGTATGTACAGCTCTGGGACCCTATCATTGCTGCTCTGAGAATGACATTCTAGGCTCCTCTCCCAAATGGCTCCCATTCAGCACATATTTACCGAGCACCTGCTATAGAACAGACAGGACTCAAAGCACCAGAGCATCCCCGCTGGAAAGATACAGTCCCACCCATGAAGAAGTGACAGAGGAACCGAAGGGGAGATGATGGAGGGGAAGTTAAGATGCTGGACATGGGAGGGACTTCCTTGGTAGTCCAGTGCTTAAGACTCTGCACTTCCACTGCAGGAGTTTGATCCCTGGCTGGGGAACTAAGATCCCGCAAGCTGTGCAGTCTGGCCAAAAGAAAAAGACACTGGCCGTGGGAACCACTGAGCTTACTGAGGGGTGAGGGACAAAGTTGTGCGAAAAGTCCTGCCAATTAAGGTGGCTCTTTTTTCTTTTTAAAAAATTTTTATTATTGTTTTTTTAATTGAAGGATAATTACTCGACCATACTGCGTGGGTTTCTGCCAAACATCAACATGAATCAGCCACAGGTATACCGATGTCCCCTCCATCCTGAACGCCCCCTCCCACCTCCTTAAGGCGGCTCTTGGAGGAGAAGCAGGTGACATCTGGCTGACAGGACGGAAGAGGAGGCAAGGTGAGGGGCCGAGTAAGGGGACATCCTGGCGGAAGCGACGGCAAAGGGGCGTAAGACTGGGGTAAGGGAACGGCTAGCCGTTTGGTCTGTTCCGAACCCAGGCCCCACATGGGGGGAGCTGGGGGTGTGGCTAGAAAGTGGGGCTTAGGGAGGCTCCTGGAGCGCCCGGCCCGTCATCCTGGCGCTGTCGTTAACTGGCAACATGGTGCTGCCCGGCCCGTCGGCTTCTCTGCTCTGAGGAGAGAGCACAGACCCCCAGGCTGAGGGTCCGGTCTGAGGTGGCTCTGGAGCCTCTCCTGGGCCTCGGAACAGGGAGTGCAGGCCGACACGGGCGGAGGTGCAGAAGGGCGCGCCACTGGAATGTTTGGGAGAGGATTAAAGGCATTTTCTAAGCCAACAACGGTTCCACGGGTGGCTGAAGGGGAGTTCCAACACCAGATGCACGCGGGGATGGCTGAGAGCGTTTGGATCTGGAATTCCCTTTGGTGGCTGGAATCAACCTCTCTGACAAAGGCCACCTGGACAAGCCCGGAGCTGGATGGAGCCTGACGCACTGCCTGGGTACGACTGATTGGCCCAGAATATCAGGTTAGCGAGTCGAAATAATTAAACATCAGGCCAGCTGTTTTCGGCCATTAGGTAACATTTTTCATTTCGGAGACCACACAACAGAGAGGGGGAGAACCGAGAGATAAGACCTGTGTTTTGATTTACTGAGTCTCTGCGGCAGATAAAGTCCAGCTTCTTGGAATCCTTCAGGCAATTACTATTTCAGGCTTGGCAAGGACTGGAGTCTGAAAACTAACTATTGGGCTTGTCTTGGCAAGACTTGAAGTCACTGTTAAGTTGTACGGTTGTCCCGGGCGGTGGTGGTGGAGGGGAAAGTCAGTGGCCAGAGGGAGCCAGGGACCGTAGAGCTCAGAGGAGCCCAGGGCTGGCCCTCCCCCAGCACGTTCTTAGAGAGGGAGTGTGGTCAGGTGGAGAAGGCCCAGGCCCGCTGGTTGCGATCCTGTGGTTCCCCTCTGGCATCTGCTCGTGTCAGTTCTATGGGCACTGCTCACACTCCCCGCCTTAGTATCCTTTGCTGTAGAAACGGAGGGTGAGCACGCTTATGTTTGCCGGGGTGAGGGGAAGGAAAGAAGGGGGACTGGCAGGTTGCCCACCGTGCTGGCTTGGGACACTTGGAGTGGGGAGGGCCGGGGTACATAAGGGGACACCAGAAGACCTAGACTTAAACCTCCTCCTCGCCCCTCACCTCGTGGACAAAGACACTAAGCTCAAGTCCCTTCCCCGGTCTGGGCCTCAGTTTCCACCTGGCGATGTAAGGCAGGGAGCTGGATCTGACCAGCTGGAACCCAAGGACCGTCCTTGTTCTGACCACCTGCCCTCCCCCAGATGCCGAGGAAGATACATGGCGGGGCTTGAAGGCATGCAGAGTTTTTTCCTTCGAATAGAAATGAGAAAAGGCCCATGCGCTCCAGCTGACGTCCCCCACAAACTCCTGGAGCCAACACTAAGTATGGAGCGGGGAGCGCGGGGCCGTCTGAGGAGACAGCAGGCCCGCGTGTGGTCACTGGCGACACTGGACTGAAACTTCTCTTGCGCGAGCTCTTCCACTTAATTGGGAGCTTGCCTTCCCAGTTGTATATTTTTATCCTGCGCCCTGGAACCCAAACCGTGAGGCCTGTAGCCAAAGGCTGCTTCTTGTTCCGTCGTTAACTGCCTCGGCCCCGCCGGGCTCTACCCAGGCCGGAAAGGCCTCCTCTGGGGGCCGCGCCTCCTCGGGCGAGCGGCGCTCAGGGGAGGCTGCGGGGCTGGACCAGAATCCCAGCCCCGTCCTCCAGCTCTGGAAATAAATCCCCTTCGCTGTCTGGCCCACACAAATCCCAGTTCAGCCAGGCCTCTCCTATGGGGTTATTCTGGTAACAAAATGCTTGAGCTCAGCAATTCTTCTCTACTCTTACCCACTCTCAGTGAGGAGCCAACTGGGCTATTCCTTAGACTCCGCTTTCCGTGTCTGAAATGTGGTTGAAAACTAATATTCCAGATGTTTCCTCATATTTTAAGTGGAACCACAGATTAAGCTTCCTGCAGGAAGGCAGTGTGGCACCGCAGAAGGAGGACGGTCTTGGGGAGTCAGACCGGCGTCTGAATCGGGGCTCCAGCTTTTGCAGCTGCATGGCCCTGAGAAACCCACCATTCTTTGAAGCTTGTTTTCCTCTTCTCTGGGAATAACAGGATTCCCTTCTCCTCAGCAGCAACCTCCATGTGCACAAAGGCTGTCTGATTTGTTCATCACGACACAGTCTACACCTCACACAGAGTACGTTTGTGAATTAGTATACATCGAGTCTGTGATTAAAAACCTCACAGGATTTTGAGGAGCCCAAGGGCTTTCCTGGTGGCTCAGATGGTAAAGAATCTGCCTGTGACACCAAAGACCCAGGTTCAATCCCTGGGTCAGGAACATGCTCTGGAGAAGGGCATGGCAACCCACTCTAGTATTCTTGCCTGGAGAATCCCATGGACAGAGGAGTCTGTGGGCTACAGTCCATGGGGTCACACAGAGTCAGACACGACTGAAAAACTAACAATGGGATTAAAGATGTGAAGTGTCTAACCTTGTACGTGGCCTTAGAAAGTGCTTACTCAGATACCCGGGACTCTGCAGGGCCTGGAGACATTTCCCTTCTATCAAGTGGAGTGGGTGCTCAGAAAAGAAGACAAGCCCTTGGTCATGTTCACTGAAGTAAGGAAGAGGCCACCTTGTGGGAGAAAAGACAGGCACTTAGAAAGCCCTTCAATTTGGGGATCTTTTGCTAAAGTTCACTCTCTGGCCATGGAAAAAGGAGCCAATCAGATGCAAAGCCACTGATGTCACAGATGGATGGGAGTAGTAGGAGGCCTTCAGTAATACCAATGGCTTTCCTGGCCTTGGGGTCTTCCAAGGAGATTCACAAAACTAGACCCGGGCATGGAAACCAGATTTTCAAGGGCCACGGGTACACTGGACTATTGTTCCAGGACAGAAACAACTCAGAACAAAGTGACGAGTGGGATTTTCCTTGCACTGGCCACAATACATATGTTTGTTCAAGAAAAAAAAGTTGGAACAAGAAGACATGAACGTCTGCTGCTAAAGAAAAGCCTGTTTGTACCAGCCACAGTGGCGGGATTGTTCAGGGAGTTCATCTTGAAAGTCCATTTACCCCAATAGCATGGCCAAGGCCAGTGTCATTTTGGGGTGTGGCAACACTCCAGGCTCTTCAGTACCAGATGTGAATTACCTAGGGTATCTGCCTGTGGGAGAACCGGCATCTGCTAGACGGGCCAGCCCATCTCCTGACTGATACCACCGTTCTCCTTGCTCCCTTCCATTTCCTTGGACAGGCTTGTCTAATGGATACAACACGGATTTTATAAAAAGTAGGATTCTTGACTGAGATTTGGATCCATCATTTTAGGGAGTAAATCAGGAGGAACACTTGCAAGGGCTGGCACATCTTAATGATGACCCAGGACCCACATCTGAGCAGCAAGAGATCAAAAGATCCCCCTGCTTCATTTCTAACTCCCAGAAACCACAACGATTTGGAGCAGTACAAGTCTTAGGAGGCTGAGATGTGAAGTGACCTATTCACCCTAACACTTAACTTCAAAATGTATCTTTTAAACACAGGATGCCAAGTTCCTTTCTGCCCTCTATTTCAGGGGGATTTAAGAGCAACAATTTACCTACAAATTCTTCAAGCAGTCCAGGATTTATTGAGTACATGCTGACTCCTTCAAGTAGTGGATAATACGTCTGGATGTAGATTTGAAAAACAAATATAATTCCATCAACCAAAGGAGGATCCAACCTAAGAGAGGTGCCACCACTTAGAATCTCCAATCTCTGGGGTTAGTTGTAAACTTTCTCAAAAGGAAAGTTCATTTTAAATCAATGTCACAAGATAAATATATACTTATATGGAAAGCAAGTTAGGCTCTCTGTATAACAGGAGCTTCAATAAGAAAGGATAGGTACACATATATTATATTTAGATACATTCACATAAAATATGTGACCATAACAATAATATCTAATTATTATATACAGCATTTACTGTCAGGCATTATTCTCTGTGTGGTGGGCAGGCAGGCAGTATTTTAAGTGTTCTACACACATTAACTCATTGAAGCCTCAAAACAACCCTCAGGTGTGGGTATGCTATTTTATGGGTGAAGAAATGAGACACAGAGAGGTTAAGTAACTTGCCCAAGGTGACACAGCTAGTAAGAGGCAGAGCTGGGAACTGAAGTCAGTGAACACTGCTCCAAAGCCCATACTGTAACCCACTAAGCTGCCACTACTGTCCTGGGAGATCCTTTGAAGCCATGTGGAACACAGCCTTCCCTCTTCTGCATTCTACCTTCCTCCCAGCTGCCTCCCCCAAACACACACACAGGCCAATGGAATTGGGAGTCCTTTTCCTCTCTCAGCATTTGCCACCAGAACAATCTTGTTATACAGAACAAGACTGGGAGCTCTAGGAGGGCAGCGTGTGGAGCTCAGATCCTTGATATGTCCCTCCTACCTCTGATTTTTGGTTCATAGCTTGGCTCGTCAACTGGGCCCTGGTACTGCCCTAGCAGTACTGGTTTCCAAGAGATGGTTCACATGCAGGCTGGAGAGAGATTTGGGAGTTCTTTCGATGGTCTCATTTCTGATTATTCAAAACACCCATCAAAATAGGGATGAGTGGCTCAAAGAGATGGGAGCCCCTATGCATGTATGTATAACAGGGAGGAAGGGCTGGAAATTCGGAAGCTGGGAGAAGGAAGAAACGTAATCTCTTCTGATCCATTCACCTGGCAAACCCATGGCAATTTGCACTGATAACCGAAAGCCAGGACCACGTTCATTAACCCCCGAATTCTTCCTTTTACTATTATTAACCATATGGAGGCCAAGGACTAATTCCCACCACGTGGCTGGGACACGGCTCCCTTACTAAGAGAACACAAGGTGGTAGCCTAAATGCTGCGGTTTTATAAGGAAACTGCTTTAAGCCTAAGCCGTTCTGTTAATTTTATACCTTCATCTTTAACCACGATGCTCTCATTTGCCAGTGTTCATGGCTTCCTTTTACAAACTGCCATTTGACTTCAGGAGCTGCTCCTTACGATGGTGTATGGACCCATGGGAGCCTCCTGGTCTCCCCCTTGTCATCCTGTCCTTCCCCCTCAACCCAGAAACCGGCCATCGCTTTCCCCAGCAGCTGCTGCACAATCCAAAAAGCGCCTGGGTCAGTCTCCGGCTCCAGCCTTTGTTCAATGAGCTTCACGTCCGGGTTTCCTTGGGAAGAAGGATGT